TTCTTGGACCAAAGGACACCAAGGTATGGTAGGAAATGAACGTGTAGATAAACTAGCGAAGGAAGCTGCTACTGACGATTCATTAGACACCATATATAATAAGATTTGCAGAAGAGGAATTAAAAAACTATTATATGATGATCTTTTAAACCGATGGCAACTCAACTGGGACTGCAAACATAATGACACGACTTTTAAATTCATACCTAACATCAAGGAATATCATAATAAATATAAATGGGTAATTCCAAGTTTCCCTCCTTACTCAATTTCTTACCGGACATGGCAAATTTTCAAATTATCTACATCGATTTGTGAATAAGCAAAATGATCTGTGTGCCATATGCGGACAACCGGACAGCGTCGACCACTATCTTTTTACCTATCTTTTTATCTTTTTACCTCTCGAAAGAGAACGTTTAGAACTAAAAACCATTGCTCATCGATATAACCTCAACTGGCCATGCAAACATGAAGATCTCATAAAAAATAAAGAAATTTTTTCTTCCTTTCTTCTACTAGTTAAACGCCATGAAACTATAGCAACCTACGCAACTAGGGAATAATTCTTGATTTCAACCACTTTTATCTTACTTGATAAACTTGTTTATTTTCTTGAAAACTTCTTGTAGTCTTGTTCTTTTATTCGGTTTCTGAAAGTCCTATTATTATTGTTGGGTTCGCTATATTCGACATAGTTTTGAGGTTAACTCTCTTGCATTTTCTGTCGTCAATTGTTAACGACCGTTTTCTTACATTTGCCACTTTACTGAATTGTCAGAGGCTTGACAGATGAAAATGTTTTACTACCATAAAAAGGCTTCGATGGATACGTGATTATTAAAAACATCCAACATACTTTAATCACTATGCCTCATCTATGACCTTTGTGTTCAGTCAACGTGTTAATTATCTTCATAATAATCGAATACATCACTCATCAGTTCGCAAAAAGAATTGCAAAGTCTCCTGGCCAAATAAATTGCTTCAGTGCAGAATCATGGATGTCTTATACACATTGTCTCTGACGTAGATACGTGAATTAACATAAGATATCTTGGATACATTGTCTGTACCGCAGACACGTGACTTTTATAAAAGAAGTGTGGATTATGGATATCTTGAAAACATTGTTTGAGCTGTAGACAGGTGACCTTAATTGAATCTTGTGTCCTTATTCTAAACCGTTTGCTTTCTCTGCGCCTCTGCTGCAATATGTGTTTTCTCCATTTGAGAAAGGACATGACATTTGAATACAGCCTATTTGCTGTAATGATAGAGACATGCTAGGCAATTATTTGAGCCCATCTTGTAGTAATAATCAATGCCTACCGCAAGTCTAAGGAAACTTTGCATTGATGTGACTGGATAAGACCATTATCGATGTGATTGGATAAGAATACGCCGCTGGATTAGAAAAGCAGTGTACAACTTTGCGACTTGGCTTCATAAACTTTTGCTGGTTGATAGTCTGAGTGAGTGATCTAAACATCTGTGTGATAAGAATACACCACCCAACCAGGAAAATACTGTGCAACATGCAACTTGGTTCCATAAACTAGTGATGGTCGATAGTCTGTGTTATCTAAACATCTGTTATGAACTATACACGGCTTCAACATTGATGAGCTTCGACAAAACTTACCACCAAACTAGAAAAACTGTGCTGTGGACACTCGGCCTCAAGATTTCATAACATTCTGTTTGTATTACGATTAGAATTCAACACGCTCAGTTTATTGTTATATAGCATAAGTTTAGTTTTAAGTTAGTTTTAGTTAATTTTCGTTCACCTCTATTTTATCTTATGTACTGTACTTTCTTTTTAATAACCTGCATGACAAGCTGTAAGATTATATCTATATTGGTACACCCAACACCTGTATAACCATTTCTATTCATTACCATAGTATCGATTTGTAAAATTCATACTCATATTGTACAACTTCTTTACTTTGTCTTCCTACAATTTGTCAAGCGGTTTTATCCTTTGTAAATTATATTTTCATATAAAAAATTGTATATATATTTCTCAGCTATGTATAATACGGTACTGGGAACGCACCTGCAAGGTGCGTAATAAAGAATAAGTAAGTAAGTAAGTAAGTAATCTGCTTCCTCATTGCCCCGGGTGCCGCTGTGTCCCCGGACCCAGGCAAATGATAGGTTGACGCCATTTAAACTCCTTATCTTTTCGTGAATAGTCCTAGTAGTGTGGCATTTAGTGTGATAGGAATTAATCCTTTTAAGAGCAGTTTGACTGTCCTTGCAAATCCGAATATTTCCTATGATTGTTTTGACTCTTGGATATATGTGATCGCTCGGAGAATGGCAAAAAGTTCCGCTTCTGGAACCGTGCAGTAACTAGCCAATTTAAAACCAGTATGATGATGAAGTCTCCTTGCCTCTTATTTGATGTACGAAAGACGCACCCACGTATCCACTTGTTTTGATCCATCTGTAAAGATTAGATGGGTGGGTTGTGGATCTTTATTGATGTTTGTGATTGTGATCCTTTGATTGTTAGTCGGATGGACCATAAGAGGGGTGTTTGTAAATTTTTGATGATGAACCAATGTCGTGAGGAATTCATTGCTAAGATTAGGTAGACACCCTATAACAGCATACTTCTTAAGATCGTCTGTACCTTCCTTGGTATGTTTAATGTTGTTGAGTATCCAAGACCACGTAGTAAACTTAGCTTTTAAGTACAAGGGCATTATACCAGAGAGAGTCTGCAGAGCAGAATTAGATGTAGTTCTGTATGCCCTACAGATCCTTAGTAGTAAAGGGCGTTGAATTGTCTGTAACTTCTTTTTGAAGTATGCTTTTTCTACCTCCATTCCCCAAAACGGGGCCCCATACAAGACCATGGGTTCCACACAGGCTTTGTAGAGTGATTTGAGTGCTTTTTGGTTGAAACCCCAATTTTTTTGTGCAATACTAAGTAATGCATTGGTTACTTTACTTGCTTTACTTTTTGCATAATCCAAATGTTTCTTCCATGTAAGACTTTGATCAATCACAATACCCAAGTATTTTATTTCTTTCTTATTCTTAATTCTGTGTCCATTGATGTTGATATTAAAGGCTTTTTGAAGCGGTTTGCCCTTTGATATGACCATATTTTCGCATTTTTGGTAATTAATTTCCAATTTATACTTTTGGCTCCAATTATAAATATTCTTCAACAGATTATTCGCCTTTTTTTGTAATTTTTCCCCATTTTGATGGGATGTTAACAAAACAGTATCGTCTGCATATCCTAATAATTTCCAATTGTCATTGTCGTTTCTATTCAGATTTAAAAGGTCATTGTATACTATGTTCCACAGGTCTGGACCAGACCGAGACCCCTGCGGACAACCTTTGGTCATCAGTCTGACAGTATTGCCCCATTGGTTATATACTCCCACTGTCCTGTCTTTTAAGTAGTCTTTCAGAATTTGATACAGATTATTTGGACAATTTGCCATCCTCAGTTGTTCAAAAAGTGCCGGCCACCATAAGGTATTAAAGGCATTTTTGAAGTCTATAGTTACTATTAAAGAATGTTGCCCTTGCTTATGTGCCTCCCTGATGTCATAAAGTAGTGTGTGTATAGCATGGTAAGTTGATCGGTCTTTAACAAACCCAAATTGAAGTTTGTTTATCCAGTTTTTGGTATTCAGATGGTAATTAATGCGGTCAATTATAAGGCCATCGAGAATTTACCCAGGCACTGACAGGAGGCTAATTGGTCTAAAGTTGTTTGGTGCAACGGTCCCGTCAGAACTAGTCTTCGGGATAAAATTTATAGAAGCTTTTTTCCATATTTTTGGAAATCTTCCAGTCTCTAGACATTTGTTGTAAATGTAAACGAAAGCTATTGGTATTGCTCTAAATTAGTGTTGTAACGAATAGTATATTCGGCCTCAGGCCGAATACCATATATTCGGCCAGGAGCGTAGCCGAATAGCCGAATATTCGGCCAAACTATTCGGCTCGATTAATGCACGTACGAAAATTGGTGTGAAAACCGCATTATGGCAACGATCCTGCTCTCTATTAGCCCGCTGTCACTACGCTTCGCCAATCGCGTTAATTCTTGGCAGTTGTAGCAAATAGACAAGAGTGTCAGAAAAGTATGTGATAAATGATGATATCAAATGTGGATAAAAATGAAATGACCTACACGTTTAAATAACGGGAAAAGAACAGAGAAGGACCGCGAAGTGAAAATGTGAAAATAAATAAGAAATTAAGCTGATAACATAATCGAACAAGTCGAGGCAGCTTATTGGCACGAAATTTGCGGCTGTCAATGCCAAACAATTGTTGTCATAGACTTCGGAAAGCTAAATGCTTGTAATGAAAGTCACTTAGAGTGCACGGGCGAAAGCCTGGGGCCGTTCGGGCTATCAAGCTGTCTCGAATCTGTGAAGTCATAACCGTGACTTATATTGATGTCCTATTGTCCCTTTTCTCCGTTATCACCAGACTGTCACGTACAGTAATTGTAAAATGGGAACTCTACGACGGAAAAATGACGAATCGAAACTATCGTGAGCGCGTATTATGATGTATGCACAGGCATACGTGGATTAGAGCGAAATAGGATAGATCCTCTATCGAAAGAGAAAGGGAAGAGCAAAGACTAGCGCTTAAAAAGGATAGGCAGGGTCAGACCCTCAGATGTGCGAGGATTCTCCAACGAATAGGTGTGTACGTGTGCTGATCTTTGTAATTATAAATTGTGAATACATGTGACTAATATTATTATTTTTTCTATTTTATGCATGTTACAAGTTATAAATAAATGTAAACAAACAACACTAACTCGATAACATTAAATCTAAATATAATTATAAGAAAATGATTAATTTAGTGTTTATGTTATTTATTACTCCTGCTTTAAGGTATTCGATATTCGGCCGAATAGTGATTAAATATTTGGTATTCGGCCGAATAGTGAAAAATAGGCCGAATAGGCCGAATACCGAATAGTAACCGAATATTCGTTACATCACTACTCTAAATGCCTGTTTCATTATTTCAGGAGTTATCCCATCTATACCAGGTGCTTTTTTCTTTTTTATCGACATTATAGCCATCTCCACTTCTGTGAATGTAAAGTACCTGTCTTCGTCTGTATTTGGGATGTTTTCCATGTCTGCTCTAATACATTTCTGTGTTGAGTTATCTTCCTCTTCATTGTCCCTCGGAAAATGTGTTTTGAGTAGATAGTCTATAGTCTCGTCATAGTTCTTTGTGTAAGTACCATCATTCTTTAGTATGTTAGCAGGGATATCACTAGTGACTTTTCGTTTACGCACCACATAATATGGTTCGCTCCAAATATTTTGCTTTCCTGCACGAGTGCAAAACTCTTGCCATGCCTTTGAATGTGCTTTGTTGATATTATTCTTGAAATCCTTAAAGTTTTGTAGGTATTCTTGTCTTCTTATTGACTTAATATCAGGATCTCTTTCCCGTTTAAATTTCCTTTGTAGTTTGCGCACCTGTCTTCTTTGATTTGTTAATTGGTCATTCCACCAGTGAGCTTTTGTCTTTCTGGTAGTATTAAATTCTGTTGCATGATGAAAAGCTTCTATCATAGAGTGCGTCAAGTGTTCCGCTAAAGTATCGACTTCGTTAATACAGTGGATCTCACGAGAGGCTCATAATTCACTGAAGTGTTGCCTAAAAGATTTCCAGTCTGTGCGGCCTATGGTTCTTGTCTCATCCATAATTGCAGGAGTATTATTTAGATTCCAAACGATGTACCGATGATCGTTTGCACTGATGTCTTCTATGGTCTCACATGAGGACACAAAATGTAACGCATGCCTGTTCGCAAAACACACATCAACCTAACTCTCGCCTCTGTCCGAAAAGAAGGTTGACAAGTCGCTGGTATTGCAAGAGACCATTCCATGTGTAGAGACGAAGTCCATAACCAGTCTTTCCTTAATGTCTTCAATGGGGCTGAACCTTACTGGTGACTTAGCATTACAGTCACCAGCGATGATCCAAGGGAATTTATTTAATTCCATTCCGATGTTATCAAGTTTTTGGAGAAGGTCTTCAATTTTCATGAAAGGTGAACAATATACAGACAAGAGATATAATGAACTCCTATTGTGCACGATGTGGACTGTAGTGATGCACTCTGTACTGTATACCGAGCCAAAATCCATATTTGTGTGTTTATTTGAAAACAGAATACCAGTCTTAGGGTTGTTGTACAGGTTCTTTGGTGGATGTACTTTCCACATGTTATACTGTACCTTGCGATGTTGCCTTGTATATTATACGGCTCCTATAGAAGTACCAAGTCTGCTTTTTGTTCTTCAACTGTTTTAATCAACGCTGATGAAGCTGCTTTGCTTTTTTGAATATTTATTTGAATAATTTTAAGATTGGAGCCAGATTTAATATTATGTTAGTAATTCAAAGTGCCGTTGTTTGTCAGAGTATTTAAACTGGTGTAATTATAGGCCATAGTCCGTTTGTTGAATTATCTGTAGTTTCAGTTTTTTTAAGATGTGGCATTGTTGGCTATATGCATTATGATTCGTTGACACTTTCTTTGTAGGGGGTTGCTCTTTGTTGTATCTCAAACAATTGACACAACACGGCGTCGTTTTTCTTTTGTTGCATTCGTTGAAGGCATGTTCCTTGGTACAATGGCTGCAATGTTGGTTTCCAGAGCAGTCGCTGGCAAAGTGGTTAAATCCTGTGCAACGATAGCACCTAATAATGGAAACGAAGTCGTCCGCTTTGACATTTTCCCAATCTAGGTCTAAATCTTTATGACTGATAATAATGTTCCTGATATTTGAGGAGACTGATAAAACGACACTTCTGCAATTTTCACGAATTTTGCCTTTTTTAAGTATTGTACTGATTTGACAGTTTTGTAGGAAGTCTTCTTTCGTGATTAACCCCCTATATCATTTTGTTTGAATACAGTTTCAACTAATTGGTCGTCTTGCATAGAGTTCTGGACATTTAAGAGAATCACACGTTGCCTCCTACCCTCCGTTGTGTGGCATTTGATTTTCTCTTTTAATGTTGTGATACTATCAATGGCTTTTTGGAGTTTTTCTCCCTCTGAGTTGTTCCCAACCCTAAAGCAGGCTCCATTGTTCTTGACTCTTCTTATGGCCTTTACTTTTACCCCTATGTCAGAAGGCTTAACCTCCTTCATAATGGTTGAAAGAATTGTGTCGATATCGGTAGGCTCACTGTTATTATCATGTTTTGGATACACCAAGACGGCCTGGCTACCACCTAATTTTTCATTAATGATTTTCGATGTATTTGATTTGTTGATGTTTTTGGTAGTATTACTGGGTTGTCCATACTGCTTGACAATCTGTGCATATGTTTTTATTGGCTGTTCAGTGGTTTTGTGGCTTTCTGCTTCCTTACGTAGTGAGTTGATAACTCCTACTACTTCATATAAGCATCTGAAGAGATGTGTGGTATAATCTCCTATTTTAATTCTTTGCTTAATCGTAATTCCCCTCTTTGAGTGCTTAGGAGAGATGTCCATGATACGGCCCAGAAGCAGTCTGGCCTTTTTTAAGATATTATCTTCGTTTTGCTTGTATGTGTATTCTTGTAGGAGAAGACGTAGTCGATGAATGTGGTGTAAAATCTTCAAGCGGCTCAATCACAACCGCTGGGTTCACAGATACCCCAGAACCGTCTGAGGCCAAATTAAGAGAGGTGTCGTCGTTCATGATGACTAATGAAAAGAAATAAAACCCTACCCTGTGCCTAACGTATGTACCTACTGTTGAAATCTACAAGATTGGGTGTAAAGAACGGCACTTAGACCCTATAAGACTCCGCAATGAGGAGCGAGACGCTAAACAATGCAGAGGGGATAAGACAGTAAAAACCAAAAACCCACCTTGAAATAAACTATTTGGCTTAGATACAGTTGTCCTTCAAAACCACCCTTGAAAGCTGTAAAACTCCAAAAGGAAAATTAGAATAATTATGAAAATATAAAATAATAATTGAAATAAAATTGCGCCAAAGCCGTAGCCCTTAGCCTCTTGCCAAGTGTCCTTAAAATAACAGTAGAATAAAATAAAACAACCGTCAAGGCGGCAAAACCCGTGAAAAGCCGGAAAACCCTGCTGAGTAACGAACAGACTAGTAGCGATCCGAACGAACCGGATTAGGGCGAATTAGAGTAGATCGCATTTTACGACCGATACTCCAGACGAAAACGGTCGATAATTTGAAAACAATCAGAGGTAGGAGTATGAAATTTATACCCTGGATAGGAAATAATATATCTAATATAACTCCCAACTTACAAAAGGTCCAACAAAAGGAGGCACGTCAGCGATACCCGAAACGCAAAAGGATCGACACGATATCTGGCCAAAATGTGGGCCAAACATAATTAAAGATGTTTGGCCCACATTTGCCTTTTTTAAGATATTATCTTCGTTGACACCAAAAACCGAACCCCTCCAAGAACCAGAAAACTGGCCCAGATTGGGAAATTAGAACCCGAGAAAAAGAAGTTAATACAACGAACAAGTTTCAAAGAGTAGACCTAAACGACCGTTCACGACGAAAATCGCAAATAACTTCTAAACTAATAGAGCCATCGACTCAAAAATTACACACCTTATACCTAAAACATCAAAAACAAACTACCCAAACGACGGCTTGCACAACGACGCAGAAAGCCCGCAATCAGCCCGCTATACGCAAAACCTCGAACAATTATAACTATCCGAAAAATAGGCCCACCATAAAATCGACGACGAAATTAGGATCGGAAAATAAACTAGAAAAAGCGGTAAAAAGCAAAATACTGTAAGTAAAACCAAAACCTAGAAAAACGAATCGACATTTAAAAGTTGACCGTTGTAACGGTTATCTGCCGGCGGTCGAAAAACGGCCGTAATACCCAAAATAATGGGTCCACCGCTGCAATCTCGACGGATTATGAAACCAGACAGTTTCAGCAACCCTTATCCGATCACCGGACGTCTGTCAGACGCCCTGCGTCAGTTTTTCAGCTGCATTTTTTTCGAAATTTTTCAAAAAATTTCAAAAAATTCAAGTTCTAAAAATTTTTTCAGCTGCAAAAAATGCAATAAATAATTTTCTTATTGCGCGCCAACTTTACTCGGAAAAAAAATAAAAGAAAAATGCCGGCGTCTCACAGAAGCCCCGCGACCGTTCGGCAAAAAAAATTCCGCAGAAAAACACGATTGCGAGAATCACTATTGATCATGACCATCGTGCGCATATGTATTATATTCTAGTTTTTCAGCGATCGCAGCTTCGATTCGCTCTTTTGTAGGTCGATTGACTTTGTTTAAGCCAATACGTGTTTTGTTACCACCCCTGGGCCATAAATATTTCGGTAATTACACTCCTCTGCCATTTACAGTAAATCAAACAGTTGGTTGAACACAATCAAAGGGAAACTCCTTCTAAAGTTTTATTGGGTATCTTTTGTCTTTGTTGACATTACTGTAATAATCACAGACTTGTGAAAGGAAAAATTGCCACGAAAAGTCACGCCTCCAACCTTCGAAGTAAAATGTAAACAATCACAATAAATTCGCTTTTTAAATCGTTTTTTAGCTCTAAACAACTAATTTAACGTTTTTGACATTAAATTAGGCAATTCAACAATATTTAGGAATGTAAATATGTTTTTAAAACTATCTAGCAATAAATATTCCCAGGAAACTCTACATCCCTATAGTAAGTGTATGAAAGATGTTCTTGCTGTTAATTGGCATTAAAATCTTTATTTCTACGCCTATTACGCTCTAATTGGTAATTTATATTATGACAGAATCAACTTTCAACGAATGAGAGTGTTTTCAGAGCCATCTGGTGTGGATTTTCCCGCGAAGAACCAATCCACGTGATCAAAGTCAGAATGTAAACAAACATTACAAAATTGCTATATTCTATATTTTAGAGCGTATTTTTACTAGTTTGCATGTTATTTGACTTTACTTAGATAAGAAGATTTTTTAACAAAAACTTTCAGCTAAAAAATTAACCGGGAAACTTATTACTTCCAGATGTTGCGTAATCGCAAAAAAATTAACTGATCGCTTATTATAGTTAATTATTGCATAAAGTGTAGAAAAAAATGTATAAAAGGTGTCAAGTATTTACTATTTGAAGCAGAAATATATATTGATAAACTTTGCAGCATTGCTTCACGATAACAATTGACTTCTCTCCCTGCTAAGTAATTTGAGAAGTAGTGTGAATTATGGCAATAACTTCTCCCCCGCTCTAGATAGAGAGCTGAAGTTTGTTTTGTTTAAAAGAAAACAGGTGTGTCTAGCTAACAAATGTTTCAAATTAAACAGAACGTTTACAGATTTTTAAATTTTTACTTTTTTCCTAAAAAATTTAAAATTTTTATTACATTTAATAATCGTAAACTGTGAGACATTTGCGGCAAAAATAATGAAAATGGGCGATTCTAGCCCGATTTTAAAGCGAGATATCGGAATTTATTATTACACTCAGCGAAGTCTTATACTCTGCGAGAAATCGCGTTTGTCCACGCGATAAATAACAGCGACAAAAATTT